ACCCATGCTTCATGACCAGCGTCGACCGTCCTCCACCAGGTGTCTTTAAGAGGGTCATGGATCAGACGCCCTGTGGTTCTAATCCTTTTGGCCGGGTGGTGGGGGCAGTCAAATTTTGTCGGGAGGTGGCCGTAAGCCTGGCATTTAAAACACCAGGGTCTCGTTTTATGTGTCGTGTGGATTATGAAATCTCGTCCTCCTATTCGAAAGAGGATCACGTCGTCAATGGTGAAGATGTGACCTTTCGGAAGGTCAAGGGCTATGATGAGGTAGTCACCCCTTGGGGTCACATGGGGTGGGAAAGGATCAATGAAGTCCATAATTTCGTATTTTTGGGCTAAATCCTGCACAAAGGCACCTTGAATTTCAATGGGCACATGAAGGAACTCCACCCAGTAATGGTCGGACATTAATTGGTTTCTCTTTTCCTTTGGTTTTTGCTGCTTTGGGGGAGACCAGGGGAAAATCCGGATCTCCGACCGCCCGCATGGTATGCTCCGCCATGTGTCCATGATTCTTTTGTCTGAATCAAACATGCAAATTACCGTGACCACCGTCGAGGAGATAGGTTGGATCAGGAAGAAGTCCCGCGCCCCCTCCTCAGATCCTTTGAGGGTTGCGAGCCGTTTCCTGATCCACCCTACTTTATCATTGGTAGATTTGTAGGCCGCATCATCATAAAGAACCCATGTACTCGCGTGGCGAGTGTGTATTGCATCCCTTTCTCTGATCACCTCCCCTGGAAGTGCTCTTACCCTTTGTTTTTTTCCCCCTTGACTGATTATCTTATCCTCTGGCTTAGCTAAGAATTTTGCTAAGAAGAAGGTTGACGTTGTGGTCAGATTGTCCAACGGGATTTCCAGGTTACTTTCCCCCTCTCCATTTCGTTCAACTGACAAGGTCTGGCCAGAGTACATCTTTTTAAGCTTGTCTGCCCATGTGCCTCCCCGGGATTGACTGTTAATGACTTCTTTCCTTTCCTGCAGACTTTTCATTTCCTTCAACAACTCTGTCGGGGAGGGGGGAGTTTGTGAGGGGGATTGTGCACCTTCCGTATGGATTGCGGAGCGCGGATGGAAGGATGATGTTGCTGCCATGGTTACATCCTCCTTCCTCCCTTCCTCTCGCCGAGGCCGCCAGTCGGACGAATGGTGGCCCATGGCGCCCTGATGCCAGATCGTCCATGGCAACCCTTTCCCCTTCCTAGCCTCATTTTTTAGGCTCGCCATGCTTTTTTTGAGGGGATGTGACAAACCTGTGCTCTCGTGTAGATTGGGGACGACTGTAGGATAAAGACAGTCAAGGCGTACTCGTCTGTTTCCCTCTTCCCAGGAATCGGCTCTCTTGTAATCTTCTAAGGGGAGACGGGGTTCGAGGAAGGGGTGACAGACCGGAACAAGACCAGGAGCTGGGGAAGGGATCCGGGGAAAGAGATGCGGTACGGGAGATTTCCGGGGTGGATAGGATCTAGATAACGGGTTGGAAGGGGAGCGGGTCGGGACGCTGGTCGGGGTAAGGCGAGGTCGGGATAGGAGAAGATCGGGATGGGTGGGGTCGGGGGGCGGGATCGGGACGAAGACGGGTTGGAGAGGGATCGGGGGGGTGGGACAAGGAAGGTCGGGACGGAAAACGATCAGGATGGGTGGGATCGGTGTGACGACGGGTTGGAAGGGAAACGAGTCGGGATGCTGGTCGGGGTAGGGCGAGGTCAGGATTAGAGAAGATCGGGATGGGCGGGATCGGAGGGCAGGATCGGGGTGACAAGGGGTTGGGGAGGGAAAACGATCAGCAGATGAGTGGGATCGGGCGGTTGGGATCGAGGCGGCAACGGGTTGGAAAGGGAGTGAATCGGGATGCTGGTTGGGGAAGGGTGGGAACGGCATCGGAGAAGATCGGGATAGCTGGGTTCGGGGGGGGGGTCATGGCGACGACGGGTTGAAGAGGGGAACCTATCGGCAGACGGGCGGGATCGGAGGGGGCGATGACGGGTTGGAAGGGAAGCGATTCGGATTGCTGGTCGGGGTAGGGCAAGGTTGGTATCGGAGGAGGTCGGGATGGGAGAGATCGGGGGGTTGGGATCGGGGGGTTGGGATCGGGGGGTTGGGACGAAGAAGGTCGGGACGAAGGAAGATCGGGATGGTCGGGATCGGGGTCGGGGCGACAACGGGTTGGAGGAGGAGCGAGTCGGGATGCTGATCGGGGTCGGGCGAGGTCGGGGAGGGGGGATCGAGGCGACGAGGCGACGACAGGTTGGAAGGGGAGCGAGTCGGATTGCTGGTCGGGGAAGGGCGAGGTCGGAATCGGAGAAGATCGAGATGGGTGAGCGACGCGTTGGCCGGGGTAGGGCGAGGGCGGGATCGGAGGAGATCGGGATGGGTGGGCGATGGGCTGGAGAGGGAAAGCTATCAACTGATGGGCAGGATCGGGGGGATCGGATCAGGGGGTTGGGATGAAGAAGGCCGCGGCAGAGGAG